GGAAGGGAAGGGAAGGGAAGGGAATGTAGCTCAGTGGTAGAATATTTACCCAGCAAATATAAGGCTTGGTGTTTGATTCCCAGCATTACACACACACACACACACACACACACAGAAAGAAGAAAGAAAGAGAAAATCTTATCTCTAGAGGTTACAATGACCAGCCTTTGCCCCCTCCTCCCAGAGATACTTCCTTTTGAATTGGGAGACTGGCTGTTTCTAATTGCTGTGTTCAGCTCACTGAGCTGAATTTATAGTATATCTGCCTACCTCCATCACTGAATGACATTTATGTTGCTGTAAAGCCACTTTCCTTCCAAGATCTTTGAGCCAAACCTGTCATGTGTAACTAACTTCTCTCTCCTTATGCCTTCCCTTCCTGTGATGTGTCTCTAGATGCCACTGCTTAATTTGACCCAGTTCCTCCAAGGAGACACTAAATCTGCTGCTGGGTCATGTAGGGGAGGAGACACATTGAGGGCTGGGGACTGGGAAGATTGGGAGGGTGTTTCATGGGAAGATCTGAGCAAAGAATAAAGTACCTCTGCTGCTTGGCCCCTGGCTTTCAGAAAACCAGGACTGGGGACAGCAGGCCTCTACCCCTCTCACTTCCAGGATTACCAGCTGACACTGAGACAAGTTGAAAGCAGTTAAGTACTGATCTTGCCCAAGATGCGTCACAGCACCTGTTAAGAGCAATTAAGAATGGCTGGGGATGTAGCTCAGCGGTACAGTGCTTGCCTAGTATGTTAGCATGTGCAAGGTCCTGGGTTCAATTCCAGTACTGGGGAAAAATAAATCAGGACAAGCCCAGTGTACTGCTATGAAGAAAATCCAATAGAGAAAACTCTTTCAAACCCTTCTGAAAATTGTTGTTTTTTGTTTTTTTTTTTTTAAATTTTATTTATTTATTTCTGTGTGTGTGTGTGTGTGTGTGTGTGTGTGGCCAGCTCAGTGGGGCCATTTGGGCAGGAGTCCAGGAATGAGATGCACTTTTTTTTTTTTTTTTTTTTTTTTGCGGAATGGGGGATTGAACTCAGGCCCTTGTACTTGCCAGCGAAGCGGTTATTCCACTGAGCCATCTCCCCGGCCCCAAGATGCACTTCTTGAGCCAGTGCTAGCTGAGTGTTATGCTTTGATGCTGTGCCTGCTAGTGCTTGTCTTGCCTCTGGTTCACACAGGCACACATGTGTATATGTATAGGCATGTGTGTTGTGTGTGTGTGGCAGCGTACATACACACACATGCACGCACACATACACAACTGCATTAGCATATTTCTCCTTGTAGAACCAGTTCAACTTATTTTTAAGTAACAAACTCCACTCCCACAGAGACCACATCAAAGGAAAAAAATGCCTTAATTTATGTTAGAACTAGCAGAAAGCAAGGGCATCCATGGAGGTCATTAGTAGCCTGGCTTTTTGAAAGAAGCAATAAAGGGTAATGGAAAAGCAGGAGGACAGGAGACCTGTGTTCTTATCCTTCTTCCAGTCATACTCTCAACCCTGCCTGAGATAAGGAACTTTTTTTTTTATTCAGACAGGGTCTCACTATGTAGTTCATGCAGGCCTTGAACTCACTATGTAGCGCAGGTTGGCCTCAAACTCGCAACAGTCCTCTTGCCTCCTGAGTGCTGGAACTAAAAGTATGTCTGGCTCTGACAAGGTTCCTAAGGAGATAATTCAGTACAACAAATTATTTTCTCTCTTGTTTTGTTTATAGCCTTCTCCTGCATGTTAGGCAAGTATTCTACCACTAAGCCAGATGCACCCCAACCTGATTCGTAGTTTTAATTTTAAAAAATCTTTTATTTACTTATTTATTTGGTATAGGGTCTCGCTATGCAGCTCGGACTGAAAATTGTTTTGGGGCCATTTGGGTAGGAGTCTAGGAATAGGAATGACGCCTGTCTCAGCTTCCCCAGTGCCAGGATTACGGACATGTGCTGCCAAGCCCAGCATCAGGGCTAGCATGGTGCACCTGGGGTTCGGGGCTCCAGGGCCAGCACAGCATGTGGTACCAGGGTTTGAACCCTGGACCTTGTGCTTTCCAGGCATGTGCTTAGACCACCGAGCTATCTTTCCAGTCCCTTATTATTACTTTTGATACTTTGCTGCCAATTACTGGCTTGGCTTGCCTTCCCTGCACTTTATGTTATTTATTTATGTTTTTAAATTTTATTTATGTGTGTGGGGGGGGCAGCTCAGCCCACCGGGGGCGGGGCTGGCTGGCATGTGGTGCTGGGGATTGAACCACGGTCCCTGCGCTTTGCTGAGTTTGTTCTAAGTAGGTGCTTTAGACCACTGAGCCATCTCACCAGCCCCTTTCCCTGCACTTTAAAAACTCTGCCTCTGTCTCTGCCTCTGCCTCTGTCTCTGTGTGTGTCTCTCTCTATATAATTTTTTCTTCTTTTGTGGTACTGGGGATTGAACTCACAACCTTGTACTTGCCAGGCAAGCACTTATCTTACTGATAAGTGCTTCTACAATTTTTTTTCAAATAAGCATAGTGAAGTTCACTTGCTAGAAGGTATAGAAAGCCACTTAAAATTTTATTAAGGCAACCACAGGTACAGTTCACTGGTAGAACCTATGCTTGGTATGTGTGGGTCCCTGGCTCAATACCCAGGGTGTGCGTACATGCATACGTTGATTACATCCTCACTGGAGAACTTATCACTGACCCTGGGGTGGATTTCTCGCCTTTATCTTCCACTTTTCTTGTTACTACCTCCTCTTCTTACATGCCCTAAAAATGAACACCTGATGACTGAACTCAGCAACCTCTCTCTGCCCTTCCATGACTAAGCTCCAGCACCTTCTACAGGCGGCCACCGTTTGTTTCTTGAGGGATGAGATATAAGTTGCCTCCTATAGCTCTACTGCAGGGAAAATTTGCACTCTCAAAACCCAGATCTATGGGGCTGGTGAGATGGCTCAGTGATCTAAAGCACCTACTTAGAACAA